ATAGCAGCTCTTTTTGTGGTGGCAAAGAATTGGAAATTGAGGGAATGCCCATCAGTTGGGGAATGGCTGAACAAATTGTGGTGTATGAATGTAATGGAAAACTATTGTGCTATAAGAAATGATGAGCAGGAGGATTTCAGAAAAACCTGGATTTACATGAACTGATGCAAAGTGAAGTGAGTAGAACCAGGAGAACTTTGTACACAGTAACAGCAATATTGTATGATGATCAGCCGTGAATGACTTAACTATTCTCAGCAATATGATGAGCCAAGACAATTCCAAAGGACTCCTGAAGAAAAATGCTCTCCACCTCCAGAGAAAGAACTGATGGAGTCTGAAATGCAAATCGAAGCATACTATTTTTACTTTTATTTTTTTCATTTTCTTTGGTCTGTTTCTTCTTTTACAACATGACTAACAATGGAGATGTTTTACATGATTGCACATGTTGTGTAACCTATATCAAACTGCTTACAAGTGAGGAGGGGAGGGAGAAAATCTGGAACTCAGAATTTTTAAATGAATGTTAAAATCAATCTTTACTTGTAATTGGAAAAAATAAAATAATATTAAAAAAAAAGAACTGCAGCCCTGACTCCCTTTTCTCCAGAACTCTGAGACTCGAATCCCCCTCCTCTAGAGCCCCAGACCTGGGGTCCCCTTCTTCAGATCTCCAGGCCTGGGGTCTCCCTCCTCCAGAGTCTTGGGGTCCCCTTCTCCAGAGCTCCAGGTCTGGGGTCTTCCCTCCCCTTTCTCTTCTCCCCAACCCTATTCTCCTCATTCCTGGATGTCTCTCTCTCTCTCTCTCTCTCTCTCTCTCTCTCTCTCTCCTCTCTCTCTCTCTTCTCTCCTTCTCTCTCTCTCTCTCTCTCTCTCTCTCCTCTCTCCTCTTCTCTCTCTCTCTCTCTCTCTCTTCTCTCTCTCTCTCTCTCTCTCTCTCTCTCTCTCTCTCTCTCTCTCTCTCTCTCTCTCTCTCTCTCTCTCTCTCTCTCTCTCTCTCTCTCTCTCTCTCTCTTCTCCTTCTCTCTCTCTCTCTCCTCTCTCTCTCTCTCTCTCTCTCTCTCTCTCTCTCTCTCTCTCTCTCTCTCTCTCTCTCTCTCTCTCTCTCTCTCTCTCTCTCTCTCTCTCTCTCTCTCTCTCTCTCTCTCTCTCTCTCTCTCTCTCTCTCTCTCTCTCTCTCTTTCTCCCCCTCCTTTACCTTTAATAACCCCCTCACCCCAGACTGTCCCCCACCTCTCCTCTCCCCCGCCCCCACAACGCCTTGGATCACGCCCCTCAATCCCCTTCCTCTAACCAATCCCGTTAGCCCACTCCGCTCCAGCCTCTGTCTCCATTGGCCTCGGTGCACCTCTATCCCGCACGTGGCCCTGAGTTACAGAAAACGCAGCCCGTGGCTGTGCGGGGGCCGGACATCCGGGGTGCGGCGGGCCAATCGTACCGCTCGACCCGGCCGCCGCTTTGGCGGAGCTGTCCGTCGCCCTGCCCCCACGCCTCCCTCCCTCCCTTCCTCCTCCCCCAGCCCTCCGTCCCTCCCTCCACCCTCCCTCCGGGTTCGCCTCCTACCTCCAGCCTCCTGCCCGCTGCCTCCACCGCTCGCGGCCTGGGCCTTTCGGCGGCCTCTCCTCCCTCTCGCCCCGGCCCTTCCCTCCCCGCCCCGCCCGACCCGGCCCGCCGCCCGCCATGCCGCACGCCTTCAAGCCCGGGGACCTGGTGTTCGCCAAGATGAAGGGCTACCCGCACTGGCCGGCCCGGGTGAGGGGCGCGGGGCCGGGGCTGGGGGACTTGGGGTCCTGGGGGTTTGGGGGGGCTGCACAGGCAGAGAAGGATTTGAGGGTCCAGGGGGAACCCCCCCCAGGATGGGCGGGACTTAGGAAACTGACCCGGACCCCGTCACTCGGGGCATGTGGGGAGCCGAGACCCCACTGGGAGGAGGGGAGGGTCTGGGGCTGTAGGAGCTCTGGGGCGGGCGTGGGCAGAGGGCATGGAGGACCCCACCGAAGATTCGGGGAAGATGGAGAAACCCGGGAACTGGGGCACCTTGGGGACCAGAGGGCTGTGGGGGAGCCTCTGGGGATTCTGGGGTTGGGGGGTCTGGGGGCCTCGGGGAAGTCCGTGACTTAGCTGAGGAAGCGGGGGATGCTCGGAGGGTTGGCAAACAGGGACCTCAGAGAGACCCCAGAGTCGGGTGATGCTCTGGGAACAACCCTGAATGGGTTCAAACACAGGTTCTGTTACTTGTATGACCTTGGACAAGTCCCTTTTTTTTCCTCTCTGGGTCTCAGTTTACTCATCCTTAAAATAAGCGGTTTGAACTAGCTGGCCTTTGAGGTCCTTCTCTGCTCAAAGTCTGTGTTCCTTGTGAACTGGGGGAGCCTAGGGATGAAGTAGACTGAGGAATCCAGCACCTGAGTCTTAAAAGACAGAAAAAGAGTGGGGAATGGGACAGCTGGGTGATGAGATAAGAATATGCCTGTAGAATTAAGGTCTGTGAAGGAAATTAGAGGTACTGAGGAGTTTATAGGGGACTGAGGGACTGGAGGGATAAGCTTGCTTGTGGGTGGGACTGTTTTTGCCTCTTTTTTATATCCCCAGGGCTTAATACAGTGCCTGGCACATAGTAGGCTCTTGCTTAATAAATGTTTGTTGATTTGAAGTTAATTGAATTAATGAGGAAAATGGAAGTGCTAGGGGGCCCAGATTCTGAGGAGTGGGTTGCTGGGAATACTGAAGGATCTGGAGAGGACCAAGAGAATGGGATTGTCACCTTGTGGCCTGTAGGGGGTAGAGTAGAAAAGAAAATGCTACTGATGAAGGATGACACTCTGAAGTAAAGGAAAGTGGCATTTGCAGTGGCTAGTAGGATTCTACAAGGATACTAGAGTGCTTAACTGGTGTCAGGAAATCTAGTGTGAAAAAGGGCCAATCCTATAGAGTTGCTAAGGCAAGGTCTCTGTTGGATTTCAGGATATAATGAAACCCTATCTTCCCCAGTACCCCCAAGATGGAATTAGGCAGAAGGGCAGTGCACAGTGCTTGGAATGATGAGATGGGGATCCTGACAGGAAGTATACTGGAATATAAATTGAATTTATCGTGTCTGGAACCAAGTGTTTAGGGACATTGGGATTCACATATACAGATAGGATATGATGAAGGAATCTGGGGCTTCTAGAGTTTGTGGAGTTTCTGGCATAATGTGCTTTGGAGGGACTATTAAAGTTTGCTTTGAAATGCTTGTGATTATGGAGGCTAGATGGTTATGAGTCTGATAATAGAGGAGTGTATCTTTCATGGGTATTTGAACTCCTTGAAGAGTTAAGGTATCTGACTAGGGAAGTAACATTTTTCACTGGTGTCTTGAAGGTTATTATGTAGGGAAGAATGCTTTCGAGGGAAGAGGATTAATTGTGTATGTTTTTTTGAAGGAAGAGAAATTACAGAAGGAGCAATAGTATCTATAACTTCCAAGAGGAAGGAGCTACCTGTTGGTATATTTGAAAGTTCGCAGGTGAGGGAGGTGCTGACAGGGAGGCTGGCAAAATGTGCCAAGAATTATGGATGGGAGGGATTGTTGGTTCTGGAGCTGATGGGAGACCTAGAGGGCATATAGTTCAAGCCCTCATTTCACGGATGAGGAGACAGAAATCCCCAGAAGTTAAGTGATTTGTCCAAGGTCACATAGGTAGAAGGTCCAAATCGTTTGTACCATGCTAGTTCCCCTGGTACCTAAATGGATGACTAAATGAGCTAAATGAGATTTCCTTGGGACCTGTAACAGTATGAATGGAATATGACGGGGAGCCAAAGAAATCGGAGGGGGGTGGTATAAGAGTGGTGGAAATAGATCTGTGGAGCAGGAAAGATTAGAAAGAAAGGAGTTGTTGGGTTAATCTAGGCTTCTAGCATTGATGCTGGTAGCTAAGGGGGATCTGGAGAAATAACTGTTTACAGAAAATTTCCTCCACTTTCTCAATTCCTGTTGCCTATGGCAAAAACCCTTCTCATTCTCCTCCTCTATGAATTTCCTTCCATCCCCAAATATTTCCAGGCACCTGATTGGAAACTAGGGGTTTTTGCCATCCTCCTGTTGGGAGGTGATTGACAGCTGCTTCAGCCCATGGGCCTGCACAGAGAGGGTTGGACTTCCTGGATGCTGAAGTCCTGTCTCCTGGAGCCCACTCCCTTCTCCATCCTTGTTGCTTGCCCCCTGCATCGTGGGTTTCTTCTGGGGCCAGTCCCCAGCCACAATATCTTCAGGGATCCCTTCCATGGAATGTCCTTTGAGGGGAGGGGCCAGGGTAAAAGGACTTGAGGAGTCCCCTGAAACCATACTTATCACCATCCCAAGCATTGGCTCCAAGGAAGGTATTTGACTTCTTGTAGGTGAGACATTGTCCTGGGGATACTGTTCCTAGCCCCTGTCTTTGGAGTGAGAGGAACTTACCTGGGTGGGGGAAGTACAGCTCTTAACTTTGAACATTTAACCTCTTGCTCTTTCGATAGCACCCCTCTCCATGGTATTTCTCTTGCCAAGATAACCTAGCGTCTTTCTTGAACATCTGTCTCATACTGACAGTGTTCGCTTTGGGGGGTGTGGAGTGATAATGCTTCTCATTTCTGACCATCTCTACTTTCTTCACCTTGCAGATTGATGACATTGCAGATGGGGCAGTAAAACCACCCCCCAACAAATATCCCATCTTCTTCTTTGGCACTCATGAAACGTAAGTGTCCCCCTCCTTCATCTGGTGCACTTGACTCACGCTTTTCCTTGGTACCAAGCATGGCTTCTGGACTTACCTGCACCTGTCCCATCCATGATTTATTTCTCCAGAGCCTTCCTGGGACCCAAGGATTTGTTCCCCTATGAAAAATACAAGGACAAGTATGGGAAACCCAACAAGAGAAAAGGTTTTAATGAAGGCCTGTGGGAGATCCAGAATAACCCCCATGCCAGTTACAGTGCTCCGCCGGTGAGTACTTTCTCAGAAACTGATGAGTAGCTCTTTTCTTTTTCTTGATCTTCCCCAGATATAACACCAAAGCAGAGTCTTCATTTGATGACCAATTATTCCCCAAGCTGTACCACGAGAAACCTGAATAGCCTGAGATTTCAAGCTTGTCTTAAGTCAATCTGAGGGTCACTTTGCGTTTGGTTCTGGAGAAGGTGACTGCTTAGTTGACTGACAGGAAAGACAGAGAGATCTATAGATCCTTAACCCTAAATTAAGGAAAACCACATAACTTTTGTAAACATTTCTTTCTCCCAAGAAGAGAAAGCATGGTATAATGGGTAGCTAGCTCTGTGACTGAAGGCAAGTTCACTTCCTGGGACCTAAGTTTACTTATCTATAAAATGGAGACAATGACACTTTTACTTTTACTACTTTAACACTTTTACTACTTGTTGTGGGGAAAGTGCTTCTTAACATATCAAGAGCTTAGAGAAGTAAGAGCAGTAGATGTCAGACTTTGAAAGAGTCTGTGATTGGTTATAGTTAAAAGGTCTCCAGTCCAGATAAAAGTGTGAGTGGGTACATCTGTTATCTGGAAGGCAAATGGATAGTAGTGTAGAAGTTAGAGAAGGTGGAGACAGAAGAAAGAAGGAGGGGATTAGGTCTGGGAGAGGATGAGCTGTCCATTGATTCATTGTGAGCTTTGCTTTTGACCACTGCTCTTGAGGTTTATGCAGATAAATAAAGGGGTGCAGGAGGATGGCACAGATGGCACAGACCTAAGTGGAGGGCAAGAGCCTGGCTCAGGAAAGATTTGTAGGCATTCACGATAAACGAGCCAACATGAGTCATCCACAAGGGATGGGTGGATCCAGAGGACTAGCAGTTGGTTGCGGAGAAGCGAAGCTGTCATGGAAGGGGATGGCAACTGGCAAGGTCTGAGGGGAACGCGCAGGGATGTTTTTGATGCTCTTAGTCAAGGCAGTACTCTGGGGTGGAGGGCAGCAGAACCCTGTTCTGCCTTTCTCATGAGTCTGTGCCATCTTAAAATTCTGTATCCATAGGCTGAGCACTGGATTTGGTGTTAGCAAATCTGGTTTTGCCACTTACTACCCTCATCAACCTTTGGGAAATTTGTTCCTTTCTTTGGCCTCAGTTTCCTCATCTGTATAATGTGGTGGTTAGACTACAATTATAGAGCCCTTTCCAAGGTCTTTGATTCTAGAGGGTAATGTTTGCTTATTCCGTATCTCTTTTGTGTGAAAACTATGTATTTGATTTGCCTTGATCCGTCGTGAGGGCAGTTTTTATCGTCTGCATCTTTTGAGGTGTTTGAGAGGCCTGGTATCCATCTCCTTTGCCATAGAACCAACCCCTTTTCCCATCGCTTTGCTTGCTCTGGAATTTGGATAAATGGTTCATAATGTGGTTGAGTTTCACCAGCTCCCCTTCTGGCCCTGGCTTAATTTCTCTCTGGTTACCTCCTTACTGTGATGCTTCTCTGTGAATCATCAGCACCATTTAATATTTATTGGACACCCACAGCTTGCTAGGTACTCCATAAAACAGAGACAAAATACTGGTCCTCGAGGAACTGGAATTGGGAAACAGTAACCCTCGGCCTGCTTTTCAAGCCCAAACTGTTTTGGCTCTGAGCCACCTTCACGTCTCATAAGGTTCACATTTCCAGTTTAAATAAGTCAGTTCACCACCAATAAACAGAGGGAGGTATTGACTTATAGGCTGGAGGAGAAGAGGCTGGGAGCGTGAAGGACAGAGGGCTGGTGACACCTCCCCTGGATGCTGTTGTAGCTCCCCCTGTTCCCTAGAAAGGTGGCATCATGTAGTGGACTTGGAGGCAAAAGACCTGTGCTGACTTTCTCATTTACTAGCTGCATTACTTTGGGCAAATTGTTTCCCTTTTCTGAGCCTTAGTTTCCTCATCTGAAAAGTGGGGGAACATGATATTTATATTGCCTGCCATACAGGATTGGAGTGAGGAAAGACCTTATGTGCTCTATAGTACTTTGTGATTGTTGTTATTATTGGAATCAGAAAGTCTGAGTTGAAGTCTCAGCATGGCCACTTTTTCATGTGACCTTCAGAAAGCCACTCATCTTTTTCTTCTATGCCCTCATCTGTAAAATGGGGATAATAGTACTTGTACTACTTCACTTACAGGATGGTCGTTGTGGGGAAAGTACTTAGTAAATGCAATTTGAGCTATTATATTATTTGGTGCTTTGGTATTATTGAGAAGCAACAGGCCAAGGCCAAGGACAGTGAGGGAGGAACCATAGGAAGGCAAGGATCCTTGAAGAGGGGGAAACAAGAAAATGAAGAACTCTGTGTAAAATAATCATGTACAAAGGGGTAGCTCCCCTCAGCCTCTTTTTATAGGTGATCCATAGGCAGAGAAGGAGTGGTGCTGCTTACTAGCTGAGTGGTCAAAGATAAGTCACTTAAGCTTTCTAAGACTCAATTTCTTCATTTGTAAAATAGGATAATAATAACACATACCTCATAGAGCTGTTGTAAGGATCCAAAGAGATTCTATCTGCAGAGGAGCAGCTTGGAGGTATGGAAAGAATCCTGCACTTAGGGCCTACCTGTACCTTGATTACTTCATCTGTAAAATGGGTTTAGCACTTGCACTTCTGACCTCCCAGGGTTGTTGTGGGGAAAGTACTTTATAAGCCTTTAATGCTGTAGAAAATGGTAAATTACTGCTGTGTATTTGTTTGCCAGGATTTGTTCTCCCCAGCCTTTCAAGAGAGATGTGGTGGGATTGTAGTAATTACTGTAAGTAACATGGTTAAAGTAGTAGCTCTTTTCCTCCTCCCATCCCTCTCATTCTGCCGTTTGCCGAGGATAGGTTGATATGTCATCTTTGTGAATGATAGAAAGAAAATAAAAGTGACTGTACCTCCATAGCTGGCTTTTCCTCTTCTTTTCTCATGTTACATGTTGTATTTCCAATTCTTTAAGACAATGCCAGAAGTGAGATGCCTGTTTTATTTTATGGAGCCATTTCAGAAGCTTTGAGGTTGATTAGTTCTTCGCTCTTTCCTGGTTCTCCTTGGTGCCGATTATCATGTGGATGATCGAGGCTGGAAAACATTTATGATATCAACAGGAGGTGATATGATTCTGGCAGAAACAGCTTTGGGAGTCAAGGACTCTGAGTTCTAGTCCAAGGTCCTGCAGTGATTTGTCTGACCTTAGGCCAGTCATTTAGTGGCTCCATGCCTCAGTTTTCCTCTCTGAAAAATGGGGGATAATCCTACCTTGCCTGTTTGATCACAGGGATGTAGCAAAGATAAATAATAACTCACATTTTAATGGTGCTTTGTAGTTTACAAAATGTTCAGTAATTACCTTGTGAATGTTATCTTTATTTTGCAGATGAGGAAACTGAGGTAAAGTGACTTGCTTAGAATCACATGACTAGTAAGTAGTAGAGTCAGAGCTCAGACTCCAACCTTCTTTAAGTCCAGTGCTCTTTCCATTGTACTTCACTGAAAGGACCATGAACTGAAAAGAAGGTGGTATTATTGCGATAATAGGCAGATGTAAACCAAGTCCCATTCCTGCTTCTTTGTGTGACTTTGGGAAGGTCACAGACTCTCTGGTCCTCAGTTTTACTCCGTACAAGTAAATTTAATTCAGCAAAATTTTATTTAGTGCCTACTATGTACAAGGCATAAAACGAGGATCATTAATAACTGCTCCCCCTGTGTAACTAGGGTGTTGTAAAAAGAAGAAAATAAATGGCTTCCCAAAGCTTTCTGGAGGAAAGGTGTGATAGCAACCCAGCAGTACTGTTCTCTCCTGGCTTGTTAGACTTTGGGCTTGACCTACTTAGAATTATCCTCTTGAATCTTGTCAGAAGTGATAAAGACAAGATCATGTTGTATTGGCCAAGAGAGCTCTGGGCCGTTACAACCCAGAGGAGTAGGGACATGTGTTATATATTCAGTTCCTTTTGACTCCCTATAAAATGAAGATAATCTCTGAAACTATCATTGGTTTTCATAAATGGGAATTGTTTTGTTACTTCTACCATCAGAACACATTGAGCAGTTTTGATGGAGCCCTTGAGAAATACCAAGGGTTCTATAGAAAGGTAAAATTCAGGGAAGAGAAAGGAGGGAGGGAAAGGAAGCAGGGCCTGCCTGCCAGCACTGCAACGAGCCTGTCTGGGTGGATGAATTCTGAATCTGTGCCTCTAGCCCTGACCTTTCCCCCAAGGCCCAGTCATTTATTTCCAACTGCTTGCTAGACATTTTGAGAGCGTTGAGCTAGAAATTTCCTGCCCACTTTGATTTTCCTTTATCCCAAGCACTTGTGCCTTGTTTTTGTTTGTCTTCTTACCTTCCTGTGAGTGCTGCGGGTGAGTCTTCCTTCGAGGGTCAAGCATTGCCAAGCCTCATGGTCTGTGTTTCTTCTGCCTTTTAGCCTGTGAGTTCTTCTGACAGTGAAGTCCTGGCAGGAAGTGATGCAGAAGATGAGGCGGGACTCATGGCTGTTGCATCAGTGACAGCAGCGAGTGCCAGTGAGAAGATGGAAAGTGATGAAGAGTCTGACAAGGGCAGTGAACACAGTGGGATAAAGCGGAAAGCGCCACCATTGAAAGTAGGTATGGGGTAAGCTGAGCCTGGACCCCAGGCCCTTGTGGATGGAGAAGTGGGGTTAGTACTGAGGCAGCAGAGGAGCTAAGGGAGGGTCACCCAGGGCCCACCTAGTCCTGGTGATGCTGTCAGCTGTAGGCAAGGCACTCTCCCTGTCTGCATCTATTTTCCTATTTGTCAGGTGAGGGGTTTTGATTCAGGTGAGCCCCGAGTTCAGATCTTGACCCTGACACTCATTGTGTGAGCATGGTCAGCCACTTAACCTTAATAAAAGGATTTGTTCTGTAAAACTTGGACTTAGTCAAAGGGCTGCACTTGAGGACCACATGTGGCCTTGAGGCTACAGATTCCCTACCCCTGCAATATTGATTCTTTGGCAAAGGGAGGAATCCATGTGGATTGTAAATCTCTGTCCAATTTGCCTGTCAGTAGTTTTTAAAAATGTAGGTCATCTGTGAGGGACAGGCCGCTCCTCTCTAATGTCTCCCAGCCGTATTTCCTATTTCAGGGTAGGTTTCTTTAGACCAGAGCGACTGTGCCAAGGCATCCAGGTCAGGATTTTATTTTTGTGTACAGTTTCCCAAGGAATCGAGGCCCCTGTTTTTTAGTCTCTTGGGAAAGGTTACAGTTCTGTGGGTTGCCTGATCCCTTCCTTTTCTCTCATGCCAGATTCTCTGAAAAGACCGGGGATGGGAGGGGGAATTCCTGCATGACCGGGATATAGTGCTTTGTGGTGGGCAAGGTGCTTTGCTTATGTTTTCTGATCTGATCCTCACAATATGCCTGTGGGCTGAGCAGTGCAAATATTGTCCTGGTTTTACAGATAAAAGGATCTGAGAAATTAACTGTTTCTTTTGAATTTTCTAAGTGGTAGAGTTGGGGCTTGAACTCAGGACTCCCAGCACTCTTTAAAAATTGCTTAATTATTATTGATACATTTTGTTTTGAGACAGCAGACACTTCCAGCAAACACCCAAGCAATCCCAAGTACTTTCCCCCAAAAGAGTTAAGCAAAACTGCTTGTTGCAGTGACTGCCGTGATGGTGTGTGCCGCTTGTGTCAACACGCCTCTTATGTGCCAGGCATTATGCCAGGGGCTGGGGAGAGAACAGCACAAAGGAAGAGTCCTGCCCTCAATGAGTCTATGTTCTTTTGCCTGGAAATAGCATGTAGCCGTGTAAAGAAATACAAACTATCTACAGAGTAAATCCAGCACAGTGAGAGTGGGAGGTCCCAGTGGCTTGAGGAGATCAAGAAAGGGCTTACGTGGGAGGCTACCCAAAAGGCAGCCAGGGCTCCAGAGAGGCCCAGGCCTGGAGCTAGGGCATTCCAGGCATGGGGCACAGCCTGGGCTGTCCCCACACAGTGGGGAGGTGGAGTGTCACATATGAGGAACAGCAGGTAGGCCAGTCAGGCTGGAATGTAAAATTCATGAGGGGAATAATGTGTCATCAGCCCACAAAGGCAGACTGGATTCATATTGTTAAGAACTTAAAATTATTGCTCTATTTTGTTTTTATATCACCTACATTTCTCAGTATATACCTCCCTTCTCCCCTTCCCCGAGGGCTGGCCCTTATAACAAAGAATAAAAAAGAGGAAGAAAAAGAGTTTAAGGAAATCAGACAATATATTGAAAAAGTCTTTGGTTTATGCCTACAGACTCTCATCTCTGCAAAGAAGTAGAGGGAAGTGGGTGAAAGGGTTTAAATGCCAAAAAGAGGAGTTTGTGGTGTATTTATTCTAGAGTGACAATTCTTTATTTGGGGTCTGTGAACTTACCTTTTTTAATATGTTGGTAACTACTTTAGTATGATTTGTTTCCTTTATAATCCTATGTATTTTATGCATTTAAAAGCATTAGCCTGAGAAAGGGTCCATAGGTTTAACCAGACTGACTGCCAGAGGGGTCCAGGACACGCAAAAAGTTTAGAACCCCTGCTTTAAAGGCAACAGAGAGCTGCTGGAGCTTTTTGACTAGAGGAGTGACCTAATCAGATCTGTGTTTTTGGAACACCACCTATGGAGGTTGGATTGGAGAGGGGACCAACTTAAGGCAGAAAAATCAATTAGTACCCCATTGCAATAGTCCAGGTGAGAGGTGATGAGGACTTGGAACTAGGGTGGTGTTGTGGGAGTAGAACTGATAAGATTCGACAGTTGATTGGATGTATGTGTGGTGAGGCAAAGTGAAGAGTTTTGTATGACGCTGAGATTGTTAACATGAGTGACTGGAAGGACAGGGATACCTTTAGCACAAACAAGGAAATTAGGAAGGAGATGGATTTGGGGGGAAATATCAGTCATCTTGAGTTTGATATACCTCAGGGCCATCCATCCAGTTGGAAACGTGCAATAGGCAGGTAGAGATTTACATCTAGAGTTTATGAGAGAGACTAGGGCTGGCTATATGGATTTGGGTGTGGTCTGCAAATAATGAGACCCCATGAGAGACTGTGGAGAGAGAATAGAAGAGGGCCTCCTGAGCCTGCTGGTATCTCTGCACATGAGTGATGACCTAGCAGAGATGGAGAAATGGTGGCCACCAAGAAGGAATTGTGAAAAACTAAAGAGGAGAGGAGATAGCTAGGAAGGAGAGGGTACTTAATCATATTTCATGCTGCAGAAGGATCAAGTATTAATCACTCAGCAAACAGTTAGATGCCTACCGGATTCCCCATCTCACTCCCAATAGAAGCTATGCCGAACCTTCTCTTCTCTCTTCAAATCTTCTATACCTTCATCCCTTGTTTTCCCCTTTTCTCACACTTCCCCTTCCCTTGAGACTTCGCTTCTTATTTTACTGAGAAAATTGAGACAATTCTTTGTGAGCTCCATCTTCTGTTCTCTTCATCTCAAAACCCCTTCACATAGTGCCTGGCACATAGTAGGTGCTTAATAAATGTTTATTGACTATTGGCATCATTTCCCAGGGTTTTTCTTGCCTGGGCCAAACTTACTTGTGCACTTGGTCCATCATATTATCATCAACAAACATTTATTTAGTGCTTGCTATGTGCCAGCACTGTGCTAAGTTCTGGGGATACCAAGAAAGACAAAAACCAGCCCCTGCCCTCAAGGAGCTTCCATTTTAATGGAGGACTCAATGGGCAAAAAACTATGTACTATAAGATATAGCTGGACATCAATAACAACATTGACATCTGTGTATAAATATATATGTATATATATGTGTGTGCATTATAATAAATAGAGGGTAATCTCAGAGGGAAGGCACTGAGGGTAGAGGTGGAGAGAGGAATGGAGACCAGGAAAAGCCTCTTGCAGAAGATTTCATTTGAGCTGAGTCTTGAAGGAAGCTGGGAAAGCCAGGAAGTGGAGATGTGAAAATGTATGGAGGAAGAGAATTTAAGGCATGGGCGACAGCCAGCACAAAGGCCAAGAATCTGCCAGTTGGGTGTCTAATTTGAGGAAGAGGAAGAAAGTCAGTATTGCTTGATCAGAGAGTATGTGGAGGGGAGAAAAGCGTAAGAAGATTGAAAAGGTAGGAAAGAACCACATCACGAAGGACTGGAACAGCCAAACGGAGAATTTTATATTTGATCTTGGAAGTCATGGGGAGCCACTGGAGTTTACCAGGGAGAGATAGGTGTGTGTGACATGTTCCGATCCCATGCTTCAGGAAGATCCCTTTGGCAGCTGAGTGGAGGTTGAACTGGAATGGGGAGAGAATTGAGGTAGGGAAACCAACTAGCTGGCTATTGCAGTAGTCCTCCAGGCATGAGATGACGAAGACCTGCCCCAGAGTAGCTGCTTGTGGAGAGTGGAGAGAAGGGGGTATATGTGAGAGATGTTGGGAAGCAACAAGATCTGGCGACAGATTGGACACATAGGGTGAGTGAGGAGTTGACAGTGACATGTCGGATGTGAGCCTGGGTGACTAGAAGGGTGGTGGTGCCCCTAAGAGTAATAGGGAAGTTGGGGCAGGGGAGGCCTTGGTGGAAAAGATAGTGAATTCCATTTTGGACATGTTGAGTTGGAGTTGTCTCCAGGACATCCAATTCGAGATGTCCAGCAGGCAATTGGTGATCCAAGACTGGAAGTCAGAAGAGAATTGGGGTGGATGCCTAGATGTCGTAATAATTGAAAAGAGATTATAATGGAGTCTATGGCAGCTGATGTGATCACCGACATAGGTATAACATAGAGGGGGGGGAAGAAGAGGGCCAAGGACAGACCTTGGGGAATACCCATGGTTAGTGGCTATGACCTGGATGAAGAATCCAGCAAAGGAGACTGAGAAGGAGTGGTCAGACAGGTTGGAGGAGAACCAGAAGAGAACCTAGAAAGAAGAGAGTCTTGAGAAGATGAGCTCCTCAAGTACGGCCCTTTGACTGAATCCAAACTTCACAGAACGAATCTTTTGGGGATATTTCAAACCGGATGTCCTAGAGACATCTCAAACTCAACATGTCCAGAACTGAACTCTTTATCTTCTTTCAAAACAGTCCCCCTCTTCAAAACTTCCCTACTTCTTTGAAAGGCTTCACCATCTCTCCATTCTCCCAGCTTCATAACCTTGGTATCATCTTTGACTCCTCACTCTACTCATCCTATGTACCAAGCACAGATATCAGTTTTACGTGCACAATATCTCTCACATCCAACCCTTTCTTTTCATTCACATAGCTGCCACCTTAATTCAGCCCCTCATCACTTGTTGTCTGGATGATTTTAAGTCTCTCATCATTCCGTTCCTTCCTACATGTTGCTATCTAATTTTCCTGAAGTGTAGATCTGACCATCTGATTCCTATATTTAATCATCTCCAGAGGCTTCCTCTTGCCTCTAGGATAAAATATCAATTCTGT